AAAATTAGTTGGAGAACCCTATACCTTTCGAGCTACTACCTTTTTGAAGGCTATCTGATTTACATGTCAGTATGACCATGCTGTACATGGTGAAAACCGGTAAAAAGCTTGGTTAACCAGACATGTGCAAGGACACCAATCAAACAAGGGTGGCTGTTTACCTGGATAAAAAGACCAGTTAGCAGTGTTAGCTGTGCTGTTGCTAACATGGCTGTGTGTGGACATTTAAACAGGGCGTATACCAGCTATGTCTTATATAACACTTTCAGTGTTTATGTAAAATCTATATGTTTTACGGGTTTTTATGTGGGTATTTTTGGTGTAAAATTGTTTTTGATTGTTTACTTTGCCTCTGTATTTCACAGGACATCACATAACAGCTACAGACATTATGGGATGCCAAGCTGACCCTCCACGAACTGTCTCAGTGGGCATACAGGCTTCCAAATCTGCAAAGATGGTTTTACGGCACAGAGCTCTCCTGGGGTACAGTGAGGAACAAGCATGTGAGAAGCAAAGGTACCATGCATACATGTATTTGAGATACAGTACTCTGTGTACTATACCAAATAATACATTTGACATTTTCATAAAAACAGCTCACAATATGAAAAGCTTTTGACTTTAATATAAGGCTGAGTAACAAGTCCCTAATATAACTAATATCACGTATCTTTTGTTATGGTGCCAAATAATTGATGTATGGACTGGGCTCCTTTTCTAATTTGTAATGTTACTCAAGGTTCAGTGGCACTGTGCAGAGTGGAGAACACCCTGAACATGAAGAGAGTCCTCAGGGGTGTAGAGAAGCTGTGCGACCACCATCAAAAAAGACCCTTGCTGGAGGCGTTCCAAAGCCTGATTCTACGCTTCACACCAAAGAATGTAGTTTTCTCATTCATGGAACGTTGTGCAGGTAATATACTTAATAATGTATTTTACACTATCTTGTAAGTTGGTTACTAGTAACTGTACTATCTTGTAACATAACACAAAACTGATTAACAGATAATACATCTACTTGACATAATTAAATTGTGTGTCTTGTGTTTTGTTACTCAATGTAGGTTGCATCTTGCAGTCATGCATTGCA